CGCATGACACGAATCAAATGCCCGCAAATGAAAGCACGTGGCCTGTCTGGCATCGAGGCGCCATCTAGTAGACGGCATCGACACCTGTAATCGGCAAACTGGCTCCAATTGGACCGGACCGCAGACACGCGCATGGGACTCCGGCGCCGCCGTTATTGATTCTAAATTCAATAATTAAACATGCCCGACTCACGGTCGTGATGGCGGGTCATCGAGGTGACAGAGGGTCGAGGGAAGCCAATGCGACTTTTGTTCCTGCAAACTGTTTGGCCTCGTTTCCGCAAGCCGCTTAGTGAAGAGGTAAATATCAAACACCCTACGTTGTCTGACGAGCTGTCCCTGAAAATGCAGGAGCCTTCTATCTTGAGGAGATGAGGATTCAAACATTCCTCTAGCCTTAAAGGTTTTGTACTTTGTTTCTGATATGAAAAACAGACGTTAACCCGTAAACTAACTATTAATTTTCAGCTGACTAACGGAAGCGTTCTCTAGTAAAACAAACCTACGGCTATAATCTACTTGACCTTTTTAACATTATGCGTAGATTTTTTCAGAGTAGATGTTAAATGTTAAATTTGGTCAACTTCAAGATAGAAGTAGATATTCTAATGTTTCCTAAGTTTTTCATGCTGATTAGAATTTATTCATTTCATTTATTTACAGTACAGCTTTGGTAGTTACGAAAATGCACAGCGTGTAAATACGGCAGTTTCAACTTTAGCAATCTACAGTAAAACGAAATCCAATAAGTAATTGCTTGCAGCAGATTGGTCCAACCTCATGAAGGAACTCACAGTCGCATTAAGGATCATCCAAATATACTTCAAGAATAATTTCACTTCATTCTGTTTATAAATGTAAAAATGTCACTGAGAGTATCAGAAAGATGTAATTCCAAAAACTTTGCTACTGCAAGATGTGCTTCCGGGAAAAGAGTCCTACGGGATGGAAACAGCTCAGAGTCGCAGGCGCTCTAAATCCGTTTATACATGATCGAAAACGCACACCGCATGAT